TATAGTCCTATATATATATGTGTGTGTGTGTATTTTAAGTAACTTAATTAGACATTAGGTCTCATATAGGATTGAATATGATGATGATGAGGATGATGATGGGGTGGTGGTGGTGGTGTTGGTTGAGAACATGATGATGCTGTTAATAATGCTATAGTGATGAAAATATTTCTGGTAGTGAGTAAAGAACGAAACAAATTTTTAACAAACCTGTTAGTCTTTCCTTTGCTAATCGTCTGCTTTCCATCCACGGAAAAACAGCCGGGAACGGGATCTGTAGGCTGGGAGTCGGTCGGTGTGCAGGTACACGAATTACAGCAGCACAGTTAAATGTATTAGCACTTGTAACTGGTTGAGTGAGGCCTATCTGAGGAACGTGTATGAACGAAAATGATGGCCTATTAAATTTGTGTGCATTGTCCTCTTCTTCTTTATATGCATCTGGCCTGCTTAAGATACTTTTAATACTAAAAGGCAGTTTGTCTGCTGTCTTCATTTCCCCAGTCTGCGAGACATCATCTGTTTCATCACTCGATTCGAACCGGTCGTCCATTGTCGTTCTTCAAACTCCTATTAAAGATGTTTGGCTCAGTTTTAAAAGTTGTCTTCCGATCGTGGTATCTCCGAACACCAATCGAATTCAACCTCATCAACTTAAACACTTGCGATATGTGGAAACTATTAACAGTTTATCTTCAATATCATATTCATAGACTATTTATGACGGCACTTACGATTGGTTAACGTTAACCTTTGACACAGAAGTAGCGTCTGATGATCCCACCAATCGCAAGCATTTTAACACGAACAAAATCACTCGCCCAACTTATTTGTCAGTACACCGTGCATGACGTTTGATAAGTTTCAATTAAAAAAAAAATTAAATCACAGATTAATGATTTAAAAAATCGCTGCATTATTTGAATGATTATGTAAGATCCAGGTCCGCAGCTCTGCAAATATTTTTCTAAGGGTTCTGTGACCGCTGACTGTTGTGTTCAATCGTCCTAAATACTTGGATGACCTTGTTAACGAATAGAATGGTTCCTATCTGTCATTAAACCATATAAACAATTTAAAATGGTATCACAGTGGTCAAGTTTATAGTTGTACGCCTGTAGGTGCTGACGTAAACAATCTTTGCCAAGTACTTCTCATAGACTATTTAGTGCCCACAGTTTTGACAGTGAGACTGGTGACCATACGGTACTCGTGATCTTTCAATTTGTTTATATTACTTTCAAATTGTAGAGCAAATTGTTTGCATAGAACATGTTTCGAGTCACCTATTGTGTACATTACACCCAAGAGTTATCACTTTCCTTGTCAACTCTAGTGGGAAGATAGAGTTATTTGCTTGAACGATAACAGATAAATATATAGCTGTACCTAGAGGTTCTTGCGGGACACAAAGTGTTCACCCCCGGGGTAGGTCTGAACGGATACGCGCGAAATCAAATACATAACCAAGGATATATAGGTAATTGCACACCAATGTATAATATTAATTTTAAAGATAGCGTCGTAAATAGATCAATTTCATATTTTATTAATTAGGAAGATCTTCAACGATCCGAATCAGATTTGAGGAGGTGACAAGATCGTAGGCGTGACGACAATCAGTGTAAAATTCGGACTTAACAAGGTTTCACATAGTATCATATCATATTTACATTATTCATTATTCTATAAATGAATTGCATATAGGTTTACATATGGATGAGTTAAATATTAAATTATTTAAGATCACGGGTGAAATATTATCAATATAGGTTTTGATTGATATAATGTAAAATAATATTTCCTTTAAAGCAGGACGATGATGTTACTTTAAAACATATTCTTTAATAATTTAATTAAAAGATTATTCATAGGCCTATCGCTGTCACCCTGCAAGTACTAAATTGGCACAATATGCAATTCAACGTATAAAATATAGTATATAAAACACATACAATCTGAGACATGAAAAGTTAGATTTATAAAAATTAAGAAGATATAGATCTACATTAACATTTCAAATATTAAGTCTTATACATAATCCTAATGCTTGCAAAATTAGGAATAAGAATAAAATTTAATGAATTTGTGTAGAAAAAGGTAAATTATAATAATTAATATTAGAGAATATGGCACACGGATGGAAAAACCGTAAGCATGAATAATTGAGTTGGAATATAAGAAATAAATTAAAACATATTAACGCTGGGCATGAATGTAAACACGAATATGTTTTGCTAAAATTAAGTATATTCTAGTTTTATGATTGGACAATAAATATTTAATATGTATTAACGATCTTGTAGGGATACTACTAAAGTTAAAATGAAAATCGTGATGGTTTTTCTCTAATGCAATCATTAAATAGCTGATTTTTATATTATCTTTTTTTATTCTTTTTACTTGTTTTATCAAATTTTAATTTTTACTAAGTTGTATTTGTTCATGTATGTGAGGGCGCCAAATTTTCAGCTATGCAGGATGGGCCGCACTCGTTAAATATGGTTTTAAATAAATAAATAAATAAGTGGTAATTATTAAAGATAAACACAACACATTCTTTAAGTTAGTTTTTGTAAGACTATAGTAGTGTCTCAATACTTACTTCTCAAACCTGTACTTAATTAGAAGCTGGCTTCTACCGAATCATAATGAGGCGTATATTTACAAGCAATTGGAATTACGTGATAAATAACACGAGGATTTTTTTTCGGACAAAGGTGTTAAGCCAACCACTTAAGAACATCTTAAAGAGATTTGAACAGAATGCATCTCAGTTAATTCTACTCAGTTTATAGGACGTATTGTTGTAAGGATAATGGTAGGGTGCGCGGGGTGGGGGTGGGTGGCGGGTGGCATGACGGCGCGCTTCTTATATTATGTGAATGGTGCCACGGGTATGCCTATTAATTAATAATACAATTACGATGTTGCCTGGTGTCTGAACGTGGTTGTGTGATGAATAAAGGAGAAGGGGTTGTAGTGTGGGATAAAACATTAAATACGATGGGTGTAGACCCATACACAATATGTGCTTGAAAGTACGACATTCGGTCTGGCTGGGGGGCATGGATCGGTGGGGTATGTAATACGTAGGCCTACACATGCGCGAATTGTAATAGTAAAAATAGTAAACATAAGTGTTAGGACTAAAATTACATCATAAAGTTATACTTAACGACACAATGCATTGCCCTTTTAATCTCGCATTTGATTCTTATATTAGTTTTTTGGGTCCCTCATTCCATTTACGTCCATTATAAAGCGTTAGTTTGGTCTCGCATCGTGACCAAGGTTAAGATGGGTAACGTTTAACTCCATAAGTATGTGGTAGAAATCTCGCGTTTCGTTAATAGCAAAAGTGACATACACTAAACGGGTAATAACACTACCTTTTAATGAGGTTTCTATCTAAATTGTAAAAGTAACAGGCACTTTGTTACATTGTTTGTGAAATGTACTGCTATATAAACATAACGATAGGTACTTAAGGAATGAGAGTGGCGTCATACCGTCCAAGATATGATTCTTCATAGAACAGCAACAAAGCACTCAGCAACGCATCTTAGTTAAACGGCTGTCCCACGAGACTAGTTATCATTAGTAAATCGTTCAGATGTAATTAGTAGTTGGCAGATTGCTGGTGATATTTAACGGATCAATTTGTTTCCATGTTTGCTTCATTTAAGCTAATTAATGAGAACCTGTCTATGGTAAGAGGCAGATGCAGGCCGTTTAAGTAACCTATATTTTACAATAATAATAAACGGTCCTTTTCATAACATTGGATGTTACGATATGAATGTGAAACGTTGAACACCACGCTTATCCGGATAAGGAGGATAATAATTAATGATTGTGGTATTTACGGATGAATAGCCCATCTCAGGAATTTATGTTTCAATGGTGCATGATTGATATAGTTACGGTTGCTTAGGCCGCACCCATGGCCTTCTGCCTGCTCTGTGGCCGGATTATGGTTTCTGGACCGCGTAAAGGCGTATGCACGTTGCATATTGCATGGAACCATGCATATTGCAATATGTATACGTTTGTGACCCATATTTAATCTCTAATGCACTACGTAGCCCTATGCGTCTATAAAGACTGGTCAAGATATAGGCCTATAGACCGTTCTCATAATTTATGATATGTCACGTACGACGAGGATCATGCTTAATCGCTACCAAAACAACCTTAACTAGTTATTTTAATATTAGAACCTTTCTCTAGATAGCAACGAAGAGCCTATCCAAATACTGGTTATGTGCAGTACGTGAGTAAAGTGTTCCTTATACGGCGCACCTGCCTTGATTCCGATTTTATATTTGAATCTCATCTTTGAATTTCTTTACTCCCTTAAAATAGAAATAAACAGATTTTGTGTTTAACCGACTTTCATTCCATGTTTCGATTACTGTATACAATATTCATATCGATACATTTCACTTTCGACAAAACCTTTGCTCAACTGTTACATGTAGCCTGGCCATGTATGTCTTAACCATTTTATTGCTTTTGATATTGTTATTGTTATGATTGTTATTATTTAATGATGTTATTGTTATCATTAATATTATTACTTTTATTAATATCATTTACCGGTATTGTCTATTGTCTTGTCTATATTCTATTAATTATAAGAATAATAGGCTAGTAGGCCTAAATATGATGATTATTTTTATTAACTTAAATTTATTATCATCGTTATAATAATTATAATTTTATCATCATCAAAATCGTCATTACCATATAGGCCGAATCATCATTAATGTCATTATCACAATCACCCCCACCGCCACTACCACCACCATAGATCTAATCATTATCAATACAGGTACCACCATCACAACATTATCAATGTGCAGAAGCCTTCATCACCATTGAATGGTATAAATTATTACTTCATTATGCACATCGATAGTGCATTGTAATTATAAATAAACTATAGGCCCACTGCTGTCTTCTCTTAAAACATCGTGACTTCCTGAATAACAATAAAGAACACAGTGATTATGATGTAAAATAGACAGGAAACCATGTGAAAAGCCACACACGTTCCAACGGCAGCCTTGCCTCCCAGAAGACTAACTTACATGGTAAGTAGTCTAAAAGACAATGGATTTGATTGTAGGGGAAAGTAGTGGGCGCGTGTCATCAAGATGCGGAGGGAGCATGAATCATAAATGATGATGAAACGTTACCCAAGGTTGTAATTATCAACACTTTAACAGAGTGTTGTTGCAATCATAACTCACACTAAGGTGTTAAATAAGTAATAGGCTCAATGTGAGCCATGCGAACCTATTAATATGATGTATATATTGACCTCGTTAGTTCCATTTTTATACCTAAATATGTTAGTGCATGCGAACTGTTCGCGTAATGTTGTTCCATTTTCAATACCCAAGAAAAGTCTTATGTGTTATAAATATGTGTTATAAATAAATAAATAAATATAATATATATACATATATATGTATATATAATAAATATATATATATATAAATGTAAAATTCAAGTTTCAAACGTTGCAAAGGAATTAGACGTTGCCAGGTTAGTCTAACAATTTATCAAAATCATTGCCGCACAAATTACTGGAGATTATTTCGCTTCAGAGATGTCATCAAGTATGAAGATTACTCCGCAATTGTTTCTCTAACTTAATCGAGC